GAGGGAGAGGGAGCGGCAGGAGCCAGAGGGAGGGAGAGGGAGAGGGAGAGGGAGAGGGAGAGGGAGAGGGAGAGGGAGAGGGAGAGGGAGAGGGAGAGGGAGGAGGAGACTCGACGGAGGGAAAGGGAGCGACACGGCTGCCACGCACCCACCCACGGCCCCACTCCGGGTCCTGTGGAGCGGACCCCCCTCTCTTCTCCCTGGCGCGCGGAGCGCCGCCAGGAGCCCGGCGCGGGCCCCAGGAAACTGTGTGGACCCCTGGAAGTTGATGTTCATGCTTGGCGGCGAGCGGGGGAGGGAACGAGAGGGAAAGAAGGCCTTCTCAGAAGGCGGCGGGACCTCTCTGAAGCCCTCGCGCCCTCCGAGAAGTTGCCTGTGCCCTCGGGGGAGGCCCGCGACAACTTCTCAGAAGGCCGGGGAGCTTCCAGGCCTTCTGAGAAGGCCCGCTCCTTCTCGGTGCCCCCCTCGCTCAGGAGGAGGAGGAGGAGGAGGAGGAGGAGGAGGAGGCATGCAATTGTTTGTTGCTCTTGAAGCCCTCTTCCGCCCACAGCGCTCCGAGCCAGCACAGCTCGGGGGGGGACGAGCTCTGGTCGTGGCGGCGCGTCGGCTGCCCTAGAGGAGGACGCGCGAAGGCGTACCATTTCCAGTGGAGACCACCGCCCTCCCCCTTCCCCTCCCCCTCCTCCTCCTCCTCCTCCTCCTCCTCCTCCTCCTCCTCCTCCTCCTCCTCCTCCTCCTCCTCCTCCTCCTCCTCCTCCTCCTCCGCCTCCCTCCTCATCCTCCTCCTCCTCCTCCTCCTCCTCCTCCTCCTCCGCCTCCTCCTCCTCATCCTCCTCCTCCTCCTCCTCTTCCTCCTCCTCCTCTTCCTCCTCCTCTATTCCTTTTCCCTCCTAAATAACTTCCCCCTGTCGCACCCCGGAGCAAGTTTTTAGGGCTCTCGCCTCTTCCTCACCATGCTCTGCTTAAAATGGCGTTCCACAGATTAATTTTCAAAATGTTTACAAAAAATTCTGCAAGAGCTTCACGGATCGAGGGAGGTTCCTCTTCAACATGTGGCTCTCGCCTTAGCGCGGCGCAGCTTCGTTTACACAAAATGCAAGAGATTCACGGATGTCAATCATCAGCGTACTAAACATGGTGCTTTCAAAGGATTCAGGACTATGCGGATGCAACAGTTACGTTGACTCGTTGTGTTGAAGTCCCAGACATGGCGTTACGGAACGACTCAGGATCGTCAAGACGCAACAGTCAGGTTCATCCGTTGCGCTGGAATCCCGAGAACAATGTTTTAGCATGCTTCAGGGTCTTCAAACGGATGTCTTCGACCGAGGCAGTTCCCTCAATGGAAATGAACCGTTGTAGGGGCCTATGAAGAGGGAGCTTGGAGGGAGGCTTTATTCCAACATCGTTGATGACTCTTGGGTTTACACTGGTCCTCCTCCTCCTCCTCCGCCCGCCCGCCCGCCCGCCCGCCCGCCCGCCCGCCCGCCCGCCCGCCTGCCATACAGTCATCGTGCTGCCAAGAGGAACGCACAGTAGGGAACGACGGGGCTTTTCTGGCAGCGGCGGGCTTGGGCCACAAGCAGGCTCCACGGCAGAACTCTGAGGAGCGGCCCGAAAATCCGAGCCCCTTCTGAGCCAAAAGCGGTCCTGCTTTCAGCGTCCTGGCTCTATACCGGAGCGCGTGGGCGGAAGAAGGCACTGCCAGAAAGATCTCACCGCTTCGCAGGAAGGGCGGCACGCCAGCGGTTGCCTACTTTACATCGTGCGTGGCAGGACGAGGAGAAGGAGGGAACGAAGCAACATCCGACACAACCTTTCTTATTGCTATCACCACACTTCCTCGCCGGTCCTGGAACAGGTACTTCGCGAGGGCCGCCCGCCGAATGCCCTGATCGGGCCCGAGGCTTGTCGCGGTTGCAAGCTTCACTCAAAAAGAGCTGCACGAAGACACACCAGCAGGGGAAGCAACTCGCTAGCGACGATGGTCTAGCATTTGGTGCATGCCAAGCACCAGCGATCACGACCGAGGCCATGTTCACAAAACCCGAAACCACAATAGCAGCAGCGAGCACAGAGGCGGCGACAGCGTCACAGACAATCAAAAGAAGCACCCTGGCAGAAGTAGCTGTATGGATTTCGATTGCAGCAACAGGCAAGGACAACAAGGCTGGCGACCAGGACCAAGCATCTGCGTGTCTAGGACTCGCGAGTCATGGATGTCATGGTTGGGGAGGGGGCTGGTGCACTTCGGCCCACCAACGATCCCCAAGATTCCAGGAGGAGCCCGACAACCCCAAGACGACCCAAGGCTGCCTCAAGACAAGCCAACGACGGCCCACGACTGACCCAGCATGGTCTCAGGCTCGCAGCTCGCTGCTTCGAAAGTCAGCTCCTGAGCCTGGACCCCAAGTGCTGACGGTCTGAAATTTTCCAGAGACCCAAACAGCAAAAACTGCAGGGAAGATCTTCGTCGGAGCAGTGTGTCGCTCTCTCCCCTCCCTCCCATCTTGCCGTTACTGTCTCCCCCCACTTTCCATCATCGTCATCGCCATGCTAATCCGCCACCGTGCCGCTGGGCACGGAGTGGGCGGAGCGGCGTACCCTCAGGTCCTTTTCCTCATCCGCTAAGTCTCAATCCTCACTCCTGGAGAATCTTGAAGGGGCCCGGAACCCAACTTGCCAAATCTCCCGGGGCTTACCGCAGCTTGCTTGTGGTTTCCCGCATCTCCCCGCGTGACTTCGGGCCCCCCTGAAAAAAACAAGACGGGCCACGAGGGTCCCGAGAGACCCCCAAGATGGTCCAAGAGGGCTTCGAGGCGCCTAAAGATCGCTCCAAGACGCCCAAGAAGGCCCCAAGACGCCCCAAGAGGCCTCCAGGCGCCCTCCCGAGAAGGCCCCAAAGGCAAAAAACATGGATGGGTGTTTGAAAGTTGTTGGTCTTCTCGCCGTTTCGGCGTTCCTACGCTCAAGGACAGCCAAAGAGGCCCCCCCAGAGTCGCCCCAAGAGGCCCCAACAGGCCGCCAAGACGGCCCCGAGACGGCCCGCGAGGGCCCAAAGACGACCCAAGAGGCGCCCAAGACGGCCCAAAGAGGGCCCCAGGGGCCCCAAGAGGGCACCCAGGAGGCCCTCAGAGGGCCCCAGGAGGCAGCGGGGAGCCTCCAGGAGGACCCCAAGGAGCCCCAAGAGACCCCCAGGAGGCCCCAAAACGGCCCCCAGGAGGTTTCAAAACGGCCCCCAAAAGGCTTCAAAACGGCCCACCAAGAGGCTCCCGAGAGGCCTCCCACGATATCTCAAAGAACATCCTCGAGACCTACGCCCCACAACCCAGGCAAGGTGGCGGAATGGACCGAAGGCCATGAGATAGTAAGCATCATCAATGTCATGCTTGTCGCCATCGGTATCGTCGTCATCATCGGTATCACCAACAGCATGTAAATCAATAACGACAGCATCGGCATACACACGTCCATTCCTAAGTACGCATTCCCCCTAGTGTGTCTCCTCCTCGCCCTCCTCCTCCAAAACCACCATCATCATCAATATCACCACCATCACCACCACCATCATCGTCATCATCACAATCATCAGTTTCATCATCATCATCATCATCATCATCATCATCATCATCAGCATCATCATCATCATCATCATCATCATCATCATCATCATCATCATCATCATCATCATCTTCATCATCATCATCATCACCATCATCGTCATCATCATCAGCAGCATCATCATCGGCATCATCACCATCATCGCCGTAGTCGTCGTCAGCATCATCATCAGCAGCATCATCATCAGCAGCAGCATCATGGTCGTCGTCGTCATCACCATCACCATGACAACCATCATCATCATCAGCAGCATCATCATCATCGTCGTCGTGACCATCACCATCCTGCCACCATTGTCCTAGTCATCATCGTCAGCGTCGTCGCCCTCATATTAGTCATCATCATCAGCATCATCATCATTATCAGCAGCATCATCATCGTAGTGATCATCATCGTCATCACCATCGTCATCGATTGCGTCTTCACATCCACATGAATATTCATTGTCGCCATCGCGGTCACCCGCGTCAGCATCATCATAATGAATCATCATCAGCAGCATCAGAAACGCCAAATCATCAGAATCAGCAGCATCATCGTCGGAATCGTCATCCTCATCGTCATCGTCATCATCATCACCATCACAAGCATCATCATGAGCATCATCATGAGCATCATCATGACGATCATCATCGTCATCGTCATCGCAACCGCCATCGCCATCGTCATCATCACCACCACCACCATCATCATCCATCATCCTCCATATTCCACCCCGTTCCCTCTCCTTCCGCCCCGTCCACCTGCTTCCTCATGGTCGGCGGACCGCTTTCCTCATGGTCGGTGCACCGCGCACATTCGTCTTGAAAGATTGCATGAATTTTACGCATGGGTGGCGGGTCGGTTGCAAAGTGTGGCTTTTGCCTCAACGCCGCGCACACTGAGTTTACTGAGTTGCAAGGGTTTCACGGATGGAGAGCGGCTGGTTTGAAAATGCGGTGTTCTCGCACGAGCGCGGCAGGCATTCGTAGAATAGCCGCGGGAGCTTCACGGATGGAGGGCGGGCCGTTTTCAGAATGTGGTTGTCGCTGTTTAACTGAAGGGGCCCTGGGACACACAAATAAATACGCACAAATAAAAGGAATCTCCCATATGTTCCCACATTTTCTTGGTTTCTGTCTTCCCCCCCCCCCACCCCCCGCTTCCCATATTTTCCCATATTTTCCTGGGAGTCGACGATGAATTGTGTCTGCGTGTTTTCCCCTCCTGACTAACACCGGGCACGTCTGTTGCCAGCATATGCTGCAAGAGATCCACGGATGGAGGGCGGACCTTTGTAAACCTAAGGCTCTCGCCTCCGCGCCGCGCACATTCGTTGCAAGCGTCTCTAGCACATTCGAGAATCCCCATAATAAAAATAAATATATACACACAAATGAATACACACAAATAAACATATTCCCTATAGTTTCCTATATTTTCTGTGTTTCTGTCTTCCCGCCCACTTCCCATATTTTCCCATATTCTCTGGGGAATCCAGGATTAATTGTGTCTGTGTTTGTTTCCCCCCTGATAAACTTAAGGCTCTCGCCTCGGCGCCGCGCACACTCGTTTCAAGCGTTTCTAACAAATTCGAAAATTCCCATGGGCAACGTCCCAGAGATGTTGGCAAGATGTCGGGCTGCCAGGGCACAACAGGCACGTGGACTCGCGGCGGCGAGGTTCCAGGAATGCTATTATGGCACGGTGCGTAATCGTCAAACCGCAACCGTTACGGTGATTCGCAGCGTTGAAATCAAAAAAAACGATGTTTTAGCGCAGTTCAAGACTTTCAAACAGTTGTCTTCCAACAGAGCACTTCCTCGAGTGAGAGCAAGCCCTTGTATGGGACCTCTGAAGAGGGAATTTGGAGGGGGATGTATTGCAATGTCGTTGATGAGTCTTTGGTTTACACTGGTTTTCCTCATCCTCCTGTTCCTCCTCCTTTTCCTCCTCATCCTTCCCCGCGGCGGGTGGCAGTTACTGCTCTGCTAGGTGCTGTATCCTGGTGTTCGGCCCTACGCCGCGGGGACATTGACAATGCCACGTACGCTGCACGGCTTGGTGTCAGCATGCCGGCTGTCTTTTTGGGTCCCGCCCCGCGGCACCCTGCCAGGGGCCGCGGCGCTCAGCTACGCCCGCGACGCTGGAACCACCTTAAGCTTCCAGGCGCGGGAATCGTGCATTCGGTGGAATGGCGGGGCCGCGTGGTCCAGAAGTCCCATGGGGCCTTCGTGCCTACTCGCCCTGGGGTACCAGCCCAGTTGCACGTGTCGCATGCTTTCCCAAGGGTTGATAGCTGGGAAGGACCTTGCAGTGAGGAGGTAACCGACAGTCCGGGTGGGGAGGGGAGGGAGACACAGGTTTCCTCCGTGGGGGGTGGGGGGCGAGACGGAGGGCGCCTCGGTCCACCATAGCATGGGTGCCTTTTCACGTGTAGGGATGGGGGAGGGGTGGGTGGGGAGGGAGACAAAGGCTTCCTCCGTGGGGGATGGGGGGCGAGATGGAGGGTCCTACGCACCACCGCCTTCACGCATGAGCAGCGAATCACGGAGCGGCAAGGGGCTGACCTGTACCTCGACCGTGTTGAGTGAGCTCCTCGCCGATGAGCGAGCGGCCGCCCTGCACGTGCGGAGGGTGGTCTCCCCGTGCGGGGGCGGAAGGCGGCCCGTTGTGCGACGAGGCAGTGCTCTTCGTGAGGCAGTCCTCTCGCGCGGGTGGGCTTCTCTGTTCTCCATGGCTCTATGGCTCCATGGTTCCTCTTCCTCCTCCTCCTCCTCCTCCTCCTCATCATCATCATCATCATCATCATCATCATCATCAGCATCAGCATCAGCATCAGCATCAGCATCATCATCATCATCATCATCATCATCATCATCATCCTCATCCTCATCCTCATCCTCATCCTCATCCTCCTGCTCCTCCTGCTCCTCCTGCTTTTCCTCCTCCTCCTCCTCCTCCTCCTCCTGTTCCTTCTCCTCCTGCTGAAGGAGCCTGTTCGACGTCAGCGTCAACGTACCAGAAATGGTGCTTCGGAAAGGATTCAGGATTGTGAGGGTGCAACAGTTACGCTGATTCGCGGTGTTGAAGTCCCAGGAAAGGTGTTTTGGCACATTTCAGGACCGTCAAGAGGCAACAGTCAAATTGATCTGTGGCGTCGGAGTCTTGCTTCAGGGTCTTCAAACGGTTGTCTTCCAAGGAGGAAGCTCCCTCAATGGAAATGAAGAAGGAGCTTGCAGGGCGGGTTTATTCCAACATCGTTGCTGAGTCTTGGGTTCACACTGGTTCTCCTCCTTCCCCTCCTCCTCCTCCGCCTCCTCCGCCTCCTCCTCCTCCTCTCCCTCTCCTCTCCTCCTCCTCCTCCTCCTCCTCCTCCTCCTCCTCCTCCTCCTCCTCCTCCTCCTCCTCCTCGTCCTCCTCCTCCTCCTCGTCGTCCTCCTCCTCCTCCTCCTCCTCCTCCTCCTCCTCCTCCTGCTGGAGGAGCCTGCTCGACGTCGGTGTCGTAAAAGGCCACCCACAGCAGCGGCGGGGACCCCACCAGGGTCAGGTTGGTGGGCGTCATGCACTCCGCCCTCGGGCCCTCGCAGCGACGAGGCGCATTTTTTGCCCGGGAGGCGCGACCCTCCCTTCGAGAGGCAGAGGGAGGGGTAGCCTTAGGCCTTAGGTCGGACATGTCCCCCCCCCCCCCCCTACAGGCGGATTGTTTGGCGAAACATGTAATATAATCAAAGAATACACCACAAATCATCCAAAATTGTCAAAAATTGACAAAAATCGTCCACTGGCTATTTCTTATGATTTTTTAGTATTCCTCCTCAAGAGGGACAGGCCCGATTTAAGGGTAGCCGGAGCAGGGAGAGCGCGGGAGAGTCGGAGGAGGCAGGGGGTGGAAGGAGGGGCAAGGAGGGGCGACAAGATGTGGGAGAGAGAAAGGGGGGCGGGAGGGAGAGAGAGAGACGGGGAATGAAGGCAAGAGGGGACGAGCGGATAGGAGGAGCACACGGAAAAGAGCAGGGAACAGAGGCGAGCGACCTGGACACGAAAGTCACCACGCGTACGCCGACAGGGGCAAGCGCGCACACTGTTCGCACGGTGCTCTTGGCACCGGCGACGGCGAAAGCGCCCCCCCCTCCTCCCCATCCTCCTTCCATCTTGGCATGCAGGAGAAGGGTCCCGAGGGACACAGGTCCTGGACCCTGGGATTCCCCCGCGGGATCAGAGCGTCGTCCTGTGCCTTGCGTCGACAGACCTGGGGCCCTGGGAGCGGCAGGCAGCCCGGCAATGGCAATAAACCTCCTGGACCCGTTTCCCTCAGGACGCCTTTCGGCGCTGGACAAACCTCCCTTTAGTAGACCTCCCCTTAGTGAAAACGGCCTGGGACCGAAACCGATGGACCTGGACCCGCAAAAATGACGGCCGCGACGCCCTCCCGCGAACCGAAAACAGCCAATTCACTAATCGACGTGTCAGGGTAGGAGGTCTGTCCAGCCCCGAGCCTTTCCTTCCTGGCGACCATCGCCCCACGCTCACCACGCCCGTGGGCGTCGACAACGGAACCATACCCCCACCGACCATCGATTCTCCCGAATCGATGGGAGGCGGGAATAGGAGTCCGGATCTCGCCGCGCGCTCGACGAACTCGGAGCCCTGCGCCCGCCGCCCGTCGAGCTGCCCGAGTCGTGGATCGGCGAGGGCAGGCTTCGGATTTCGCCGCCTACACCAACCCCCAGCCCTGAGAGGCTCGGGGACGTACTGACCCGGGTCAATGCAAGCCCGAGTCAATCGGGCCTTGCATGATCCAGCAAGATCCTGCAGGATTCTGCTCCCAAGCCCGGGTCAGTGCGCCCCTGCCCCTGCAGGATCCTGCAAGATCTGGCAGTCTGACTGACCCCGTTTTCGGCGGCGGGCGAGGGGGGGAATGAGAAGGAGAAGGCCTTCTCAGAAGGCGGCGGGACTCGCCGAGTGCCCGAGAGCTCTACGGCCCCCCCTGCTGTTCCCTCTCTCCTTCTCGCCACGACTTCTGTCATTCCTCACCTCCCCCAGTTGCCTCCCCCTCCCTCCCCCCCTCCTGCCTCCACGTCCTGCCTCTTCCTTCGCCGGGTGGCCAGAGCCAGGGGGGGCGAGGCGAGGGGGGGACTGAGGCCACGGCCAAGGGGGCCAGAGCAGGGGGCGAGGGGGGCTGAGGCCAGGGCCAGGGGAGCCAGAGCCAGGGGGGGGGGCAAGGGGAAGCTGGGGCCAGGGCGAGGGGGGCTGAGGCCAAGGCCAAGGAGGCCAGAGCCAAGGGGGGAGCGAGGGGGGCCAGAGCGAAGGGGAGAGCGAGAGGAAGCTGGAGCCAGGGCCAGGGGGGCTGGAGCCAAGGGGGGCAAGGGGAAGCTGGGGCCAGGGCCAGGGGGGCCAGAGCCAATGGAGGGAGGGCGAGGACGACGACGAACCAAAAGGGTCCGGAGAGAGGGGGGCTGGGGGCTGGGGCCAGGGTGGCCGGAGGCAGGGGGTGGGGCGAGGCGAGGGGGGCCGGGGCCAGGGCCAGGGGGGCCAGAGCCAAGGGAGGGGGGCGAGAGGAAGCTGGGGCCAAGGCCAGTTGGGCTCAGGCCAGAGCCAGGACGGGGGGGAGGCGAGGACGACGACGAACCACGAACCACGAACCACGAAAATAAAAGGTCCGGGGCGAGGGGGGCTGAGGTCTGGGCCAAGGGGGCCAGAGCATGGGGCGAGGGGGGCTGAGGCCAGGGCCAGGAGGGCCAGAGCCAGGGGGTGGGGGGGGGTGAGGGGAAGCTGGGGCCAGGGCGAGGGGGGCTGAGGCCAGGGCCAAGGGGGCCAGAGCATGGGGCGAGGGGGGCTGAGGCCAGGGCCAGGGGGGCCAGAGCCAGGGGGGCGGGGCGAGGGGAAGCTGGGGCCAGGGCGAGGGGGGCTGAGGCCAGGGCCAAGGGGGCCAGAGCCAAGGGGAGGGCGAGGGGGGCCAGAGCGAAGGGGGGGCGAGAGGGGGGGCGAGGGAAGCTGGGGCCATGGCCAGGGGGACTGGAGCCGAGGGGGGCGAGGGGGCTGGGGTGAAGACGGGGCCAGAGCCAAGGGGAAGGGAGGGGGGGCGAGGACGACGACGGGACGAGGGGGGCTGAGGCCAGGGCCAGGGGGGCGCGAGGGGGGCCAGAGCGAGGGGAGGGGCGCTGAGGCCAGGGCCAGGGGGGCCAGAGCCAAGGGGAGGGCGAGGGGAAGCTGGGGCCAGGGCCAGGGGAAGCCGAGGACGACGACGAACCACGAACCACGAAAATAAAAGAGGTCCGAGATCTAAAGGACGACGACGGGGCGAGGGGGGCTGAGGCCAGGGCCAGGGGGGCGCGAGGGGGGCCAGAGCGCAGGGGGGGCGCTGAGGCCAGGGCCAGGGGGGCCAGGGCCAAGGGGAGGGCGAGGGGAAGCTGGGGCCAGGGCCAGGGGACGCCGAGGACGACGACGAACCACGAAACACGAACCACGAACCACGAAAATAAAGAGGTCAGGGGGGCTGCGGCCAGGGCCAGGGGAGGAGGCAGGGTCCAGGGCCAGGACCAGAGGGACGACGACGAATGAAAACAAAGGATCCAGGGCGAGGGGGGCTGGGGCCAGGGCCGGGGGGGGAAACTGGGTCCAGGGACAGGGCCAGCGGGGCGAGAAGGGCTGGGGCCAGGACCAGGTGGGGAGGTGGGGTCCAGGGCCAGGACCGGACCAGGGACGACGACGACGAACGAAAATAAAGGGTCCAGGGGGGCTGGGGCCAGGGCCAGGGGAGAAGGCAGGGTCCAGGGCCAGGACCAGATGGACGACGACGAACCAAAATAAAGGGTCCAGGGGGAGGGGGACTGGGGCCAAGGGAGGCTAGGGCCAGCGGGGCGAGGGGGGCTGTGGCCAGGACCAGGTGGGGGCCAGGGCCAGACCAGGGACGACGACGAACGAAAAAAGGGTCCAGGGCGAGGGGGACTGGGGCCAGGGCCGGGGGGGGGGAGGCTGGGTCCAGGGCCAGGGCCAGCAGGGCGAGGGGGGCTGGGGCCAGAGCCAGGTGGGGAGGTTGGGTCCAGGGCCAGGGCCAGCGGGGCAAGGGGGGCTGGGGCCAGGACCAGATGGTGGGTCCAGGGCCAGGGCCGGACCAGGGACGACGACGAACGGAAATAAAGAGGTCCGAGCTCTAGAACACAGCTGTGCAAGAGAATAAGATTCCAGGGTACCAGGGGCCTAGGCCCCAGGCTGGCACACCCTCCCAGATTTCACCCACCCCCCTTTTGCCCCTCTCCCCTCCCGGGACCTCCAGGCCTCCTGGGACCAAGAGGGAGAACTCCAACTCACATTTCGACTCCCCCGCCCCGAGTGGACCCCCCAGACCGCCAGCAGCCCCCCAAGAGGCCCGCAAGAGGCCCAAAAGAGGCCACAAGAAGCCCCCAAACAGCCCCCAAGATGTTTGAAGTTGGCTCCAAGAGGCGCCCGGGAGGCATGCCAATCCCAACAGGCATCCAAGAAGCCTTTGACCCACAACCCAGGTACGGTGGCGGTATGAGCCGAAGGCCAGTGGACCTGGGCCGGCACGGAAACGGAAAGAACGCTTCAGCAACTTGACCGAGATTACTCACACCACCGTTCGTACTGGGAGCCTTGGCGTTGAGAGCTTGATACGTCGCCCCGCGCTCTTGGGAGACTTGGTGTTCAGAGATTGTTGCGTTGCCGCCCGTTCCTGAGCCTTGGCTGGGCCTTGGTGTCAGGAACTTGGTACGTCATCGCTCTCTGCTGGGAGCCTTGGTCTTATCAGCTTTTTTACGTCACCGTTCGCTCTTGGGAGCCTTGGTGTGAAGAGCATTTTGCGTTGCAAATCGCTCTTTTATTCGGCGTCTCTGGGCCTTCTTGGGGGTCCTTTTGGGCTGATTTGGGGGCCCATTTGGACTGTCTTGGGGCCCTCTTGGGCTGTCTTGGGCCCTTTTCGGGCGTCTGGGTGCATATTGGAGGGCTTTGGCCGTCTTGGGGCTGCTCTCTTGGGGCTCTCTTGGGCCGTCTTGGGGCTCTCTGGGCCGTTTCGGGGCCCTCTTGGGCCGTCTTGGGGCACTCTTGGGCCGTTTTCGCTCGCTTCTGGGGGCCTCTTGGGCCGTCTTTGGGAGATCGTTGGAGCCTCCTGGGTCGTTTTCGGCAGTTCATGGCCCGACAAAGCGAAATCCGAAAAACCTTCAAAAATCATTGAAAAGTAAATGATATTTGCCTCCTCGGGGCCTCATGGGAAGCCTCTTGGAGGCCACTTGGGGCGTCTTCGGGGCCTCTTGGACCGTCTTGGAGCCATCTTAGGGCGTCTTGGAGGCCTCTTGGACCATCTCGGACACAACTTTGGCCGTTTCGGAGCGCTCTGGGACCGTCTTGGAGCTGTATTGGGCGCCTCTTGGGCCGTCTTGGGCGCCTCTTGGGCAGTCTTGGGCGTCTCTGGGACCGTATTTGGGGGGGGGGGCGGCCATTAACGCCAATCTCCTCACGCTTCGCCCCTCCCCTGGAACCCCTCCCTCTAGGGCTTCGCCCCAACACAACGTCATCGTTCGTACCTCGCTCTTTCCGTTACCTGGGCCGGCACGGGCGGAAAGAGCGCTGCAGGAACTGACCCTGGAGGGCTCCTGACACCCTTTGCTCTGGGGAGCCTTGGCGTTATGAGCTTGTTGCGTCACCGCTCTCTGTTGGGAGCCCTGGTGTTCAGAGACTCTTACGTTGCCGCTCGCTCTTGGGAGCCTTGCTGCTCAGAGCTCTTTGCGTCACCGCGCTCCAGGGAGCCTTGGTGTTCAGAGCCTGTAGCGTCACCGCTCGCTGCGGGAGCCATGGTGTTACTCGACGTCCCTGGGGCTTCTGGGAGTCTTTTGGTGGTGGCCATTTCGGATCCTTTTGGGGCTCTTGGGCCGTCTTGGGGCCAGGCCAGGCCTACTGGGCCGAGAAAAACGAGAACACGAAAATCCTCCCAAAACGGTAAGGACAAACAATGTTGTTGGCCTCCAGAAGCCCTCTCGGGGGGGGCCCTCTGGAGAACCGTTTTGGGACTCGTGGGCCATCTTGGGGCCAGGCCAGTCCCCACACCCAAGCAGCCTAGGCCCCACACCACCTCTTCGGGCCGTCTTGGGAGCCTCTTGGGGCCATCTCGGTGCTCTCGTGGGGCCGTAGGGGCTGTCTTGGGCCGTCTTGGAGCCCTCGTGGGCCGTCTCGGGACAATCTTTAGGACCTCTTGGGCCGTCTGGGGCCCTTCTGGGCACGAAAAGGCAAAAACCTTAACAACCGTGAAAAGCCTAAGGAATAAACAGGTTTGTGGGCTCCTCAGGCCCTCTCGACAATTTTCGGCCCGGGACCCACCCTGACCCCCGACCTGGCCCCACCACCACGCCTCCACCTCGTCCGACACCCTACCCACGCTGGCTTCTAGTTTTCGAGACCTCCACTCGACAATTTTCGACCCGGGACCCACCCTGACCCCCTACCTGGCCCCACCACCACGCCTCCACCTCGTCCGACACCCTACCCACGCTGGCTTCCACTTTTAGAGACCTCCACTCGGCAATTTTCGACCCGGGACCCACCCTGACCCCCTACCTGGCCCACCACCACGCCTCCACCTCGTCCGACACCCTACCCACGCTGGCTTCTAGTTTTAGAGACCTCCACTCGACAATTTTCGACCCGGGACCCACCCTGACCCCCTACCTGGCCCCACCACCACGCCTCCACCTCGTCGACACCCTACCCACGCTGGCTTCTAGTTTTACAGACCTCCACTCGACAATTTCGACACGGGACCACCCTGACCCCCTACCTGGCCCCACCACCACGCCTCCACCTCGTCCGACACCCTACCCACGCTGGTTCTAGTTTTAGAGACCTCCACTCGACAATTTTCGATCCGGGACCCACCCTGACCCCCCACCTGGCCCCGCCACCACGCCTCCACCCCGTCCGACACCCTACCCACGCTGGCTTCTAGTTCTAGAGACCTCCACTCGACAATTTTCGACCCGGGACCCACCCTGACCCCCTACCTGGCCCCACCACCACGCCTCCACCTCGTCCGACACCCTACCCACGCTGGCTTCTAGTTTTAGAGACCTCCACTCGACAATTTTCGACCCGGGACCCACCCTGACCCCCTACCTGGCCCCACCACCACGCCTCCACCTCGTCCGACACCCTACCCACGCTGGCTTCTAGTTTTAGAGACCTCCACTCGACAATTTTCGACGACCGGGGACCCACCCTGACCCCCTACCTGGCCCCACCACCACGCCTCCACCTCGTCCGACACCCTACCCACGCTGGCTTCTAGTTTTAGACCTCCACTCGACAATTTTCGACCCGGGACCCACCCTGACCCCCTACCTGGCCCCACCACCACGCCTCCACCTCGTCCGACACCCTACCCACGCTGGCTTCTAGTTTTACAGACCTCCACTCGACAATTTTCGACCCGGGACCCACCCTGACCCCCTACCTGGCCCCACCACCACGCCTCCACCTCGTCCGACACCCTACCCACGCTGGCTTCTAGTTTTAGAGACCTCCACTCGACAATTTTCGACCGGGGACCCACCCTGACCCCCTACCTGGCCCCGCCACCACGCCTCCACCTCGTTCGACACCCTACCCACGCTGGCTTCTACCTCCACTCGACAATTTTCGACCCGGGACCCACCCTGACCCCCTACCTGGCCCCACCACCACGCCTCCACCTCGTCCGACACCCTACCCACGCTGGCTTCTAGTTTTAGAGACCTCCACTCGACAATTGTCGACCCGGGACCCACCCTGACCCCCTACCTGGCCCCACCACCACGCCTCCACCTCGTCCGACACCCTACCCACGCTGGCTTCTAGTTTTAGAAACCTCCACTCGACAATTTTCGACCCGGGACCCACCCTGACCCCCTACCTGGCCCCACCACCACGCCTCCACCTCGTCCGACACCCTACCCACGCTGGCTTCTAGTTTTAGAGACCTCCACTCGACAATTTTCGACCCGGGACCCACCCTGACCCCTACCTGGCCCCACCACCACGCCTCCACCTCGTCCGACACCCTACCCACGCTGTCTTGTAGTTTAGCGACCTCCACTCGGCAATTTTCGACCCGGGGACCCACCCTGACCCCCTACCTGGCCCCACCACCACGCCTCCACCTCGTCCGACACCCTACCACGCTGGCTTCTAGTTTTAGACACCTCCACTCGACAATTTTCGTCCCGGGACCCACCCTGACCCCCTACCTGACGCCTCCACCTCGTCCGACACCCTACCCACGCTGATTCTCCTTTCTAGAAAACTAATAGATTCTACCCCCCCCCCGGACTTATCGGGTCCCCCGCGCGTGCTGTAAATCACATATGATTATGACCACATGTCCATCCTAAATATGAATTCGTACCATCCCAGCCAAGCCGGTATCCCCCCCCCTGCGGTTCCCTGTCAAATAACAGTATGCGGGGACATTTTTCTTTCTAACATAACACTTTTTCGCGAATCCCTTGCAAAAAAAAGACGAAGTGCACACGCGCGTGTCGTCGCGCACGCATGCCGAAATCCTTCAAAACCTTCGGTGCCGGAAGGATTTCGCAATCGAGTTTCCGAAAAACATACAAAAACACATGGTTTCGCAACACTGATTTGCTAAAAAAACTTCCGCGCGAGCTCTTGCAAAATCTTAACAAAACCATAGGTTTTTCAAGATTTTCACAAAATGCTACCAAACGGGCTTCGCGCGCGCGCATGTCGAAATCTGTCGAACGCCCTTGCGCGTGTGCCGTCGCGAGAATCCTCTGCAAAAAATGGAACGAGGTGCAGACGCGCGCGTCGTCGCGGACGTATGCGAAACCCTTCAAAATCCATCGGTTTCGGAAGGACTTCAAAATCGTGCGTCCAGAAAACCTACTAGAACCCAAGGTTTCGCAACACGGATTTTCAACAAAAGCGTGCGCGCGCGCGCTCTTGCGTCGTCGTCGTCGTCGTCGTCGTCGTCGCCGTCCTGCCTCCTCCCGCGTCGTCGTCGTCGTCGCCTACGTCGTCCTCTGTCTTTTCTCCTGTTTGTCGTCGTCGTCCTCTTTGGCGTCGTGGTCGTTTCCATCGTCGTTGTCGCCGTGGTCGTCCTTCCTCCTCCTCCCACGTCGTCGTCGTCGTCCGTCGTCGGCGTCTCATCGTCGTCCCTCCTATGTCGTCGCCGTCGTCGTCGTCGTTGTCGTCGTCGTCTTCCCTCCTCCCTCGTCGTTGTCGTCGTCGGCGTCGCCGTCCTTCCTCCTTTCGTCGTCGTTCGCGTCGTCACCGTCCTCCCTCCTCCTTCGTCGTTGTCGTCGTTGTCGCCGTCGTCGTCCTTCCTCCTTCCTCGTCGTCGCCTTCGTTGGCGTCGTCGTCGTCGTTTTCGTCGTCGTCGGCGTCGGCGTCGTTGTCGTCGTCGAAGTCGTCGGAGACGTCGTCGGTGTCGTCCTAATCGTTGTCGTCGGTGTCGTCGTAGTCGGTCTTAATAGGTTTTGCAAACCAAGTTGCGGGTGGGTGTGTGGGATGTTTGCGCGAGCAGTGGGGGCCTCTTGGGGGCCTCTTGGGCCGTCTTGGGCGGTGCCTCGTCCAGCCCCGCTGTTCTCGCCCCATTCCCATGCCCCCGCTCCCTCTCTCCATCCCCATTCGCTCCCGTCCCTTCGTCCCTCCTCTCCGCCCCCCATGGGCGAACGAAAAGCTACCAACACCGCTAATCCCCAGACCTCTCCTGGGGTGCGTTCTGACTGGAATTCCGAGGCGAATCTGGGCGTGGCAGCGAGAGGCTCCTAGGGAGCTCAAAACCAGCGAAAACGAGGGAACGACAACGGCAACGGAATCCTTATCTACTCGGACCCCCCCCCGTCTCCCTTTTGATGGGCCTGTTTTCCACCACCACCACCACCATTAGCTGGAGGGGGGAAGGAGGACGAGTAGGAGGAGGAGGAGGAGGAGGAGGAGGAGGAGGACGACGACGAGGACGAGAAGAAAGAGGAGGAGGAGGAGGAGGAGAGGAGGAGGAGGAGGAGGAGGAGGAGGGGGAGGAGGAGGAGGAGGAGGAGGAGGAGGAGGAGGAGGAGGAGGAGGAGGAGGAGGAGGAAGAAGAGGAGGAGTAGCAAAGGGAGGAGGAGGAGGAGGGCGAGGAGGAGGAGGAGGAGGACGGGAAGGAGGAGGAGGGGGAGGAGGAGGAGGGGGAGGAGGGGGAGGAGGAGGAGGAGGAGGAGGAGGAGGAGGAGGACCCCCTCCCCCTCCAACTCATGGTGGTGGTGGTGGACAACGGGCCCACCACCCCTTCCCTCTGCCCGCCGACCGCCTTGTTCGCCGCCGCGCAGGTGACGCTGTCGGCCCAGCCCGCCCGCACGGACGCCAGGATCGACGCCCGGCGCTCCGCCCGCCAGGCCCTGGGAGGGGAGCCGAGGGCGCGGGGCGGCGGCGGCAGGACAGGAATGGGGACTCGCGTCGGACGCAGCACCACTAGCCTGTGATTGCAGGAGCTGCAATCTGAGCATTGTCTCAGGGTGGAGGGCTCAGGGTGAAATCCACATGGGCTTTTGCACCTCGAGAATCAGTCCGTCTCGTGATTCACCGTTTGCAGGTTCAAACCTCGAAAATCAATCAAAACGGCATTTCAGATTTCACCCTTTACCCTCCACCCAACAGAAAGTGCTCGGCAAGGAGGGACGCCGACAGGAACTGGAAGCACAGGTGTGGCGAAGTAAGAGCCGCTGGTGGTGCCGTTGCGCGTGGGCTGACCATGGGACGCGCAGAGACATACGAATACTACATGCCCTCCTCGGAGGCGTGCGTCCGGCCCGACGTGGGACCCCCCCAGAGGAGAAGAGAGAGGACCGGAAGAATCGAGAAGGGAGGAGGCCACAGAGCCGCGAAGATCACCGAATCCGGAGCCCCCCCGGATCGGCGGCACTGGCCGGAGGCCATTACAATAGTATACCCCATCGTGTAGTAGTACAGTCGGGGCGTTGACCCAAGGAACGATAGATAAGGAACGAGGCCCCTTTTTCCCATAAGTTAAATTTCGATTTCCCATCGAAACCCTAAGCAAAACCAAAGGCGAACTACAAAACAACTAAGGAACACCGAGCCCCTCCCCAACGAAAAGGGTTCCTTCCTCAGCGCCCCGACTGTACGTCGTTTCCCGAGCGGTGTGGCCAGAAATGCGCCCGCCACGACGCACGTACTGCAAAACTTCCCGGTGCGCGCGTCGCGCCTGGGGGGGCGACGCACATAGAGCAGAAGCATGTTGGGGAGACGCCGAAGGAGGAGAAGGAAGAGGACGAGGAACGAACGCACGAACGAGTGCCAGAGTCACACGCGCCCCGGAATGGAACCCGCGCATGCCGATCGTGGCGCGGCGTGGACGCCGTGGCCGCGGCTCTGTGGATGCCGCCCGCGTGAGTTCCTCCGTCTCGCTCTGGGCACTGGCTGCGCCGTTTCCCGTTTCAGAAGAGAGGAAACAGAGAATGAGCTCCGGCATCATCAATTATCGAGCGCAGCGGCTGCGCACGAAAGATATATTCCTTCTGTGCGGCCGCACAAGCCTTTCGGTAGAAGTAATACAATGCTACTGCCTCCCTCGACGACTCCGCGGTTGCGGAAGAGGACAAGAAAGCGGATAGGACAGAGGCGGAAATGGAACCGAATTACGATAAGCAGCAGCTGCAGCTGCATCATCACCACGCAACGCGGACTGCACCAGAGCACGATCCAAGGATATATTCCACGTCCCGATCCCAAGAGCAGCTAGGTCAAACGATTGCCACAAGATAGCCGTGACTTGTGCTGTGCATCCATGACATCACGACCACCCACCAGGATAAGGCGAAGACGTCAGTGCGGATGGCACAAATCATGTCCTAGCCCAGCGCCCGACAAATCACAACCCTAGTCTGAGGAGGCATAGAGGCAGTGCGACAGCATAAAACTTCAACATGGCCCAAATGGTGATGACACACGATGTCGCGCTTGGTGCATGTAATATAAAGGCTTTGCGCCATAACAAAACAAACATCGCATGAGCGGATGATGCACAATGACCACTTGATTAGGAAGTATGAACGCCATCATGGAACCGAGCTGCACATAACTAACACAAACATGACTGGACAATAATGGGAAGCGTCGCGTTTGTCCAATGGGCTCGTGAGGAACTGTGCGTCGTATTAGTCTGCCATGCTGGTCTTTCCTGGTGTGCTTGCGCTTGCGCATGCTTGTGCGCGTGCGCGTGGTGTGTGTGCGCGCGCTTGGGTGTGTGACAGCGTTGTGCGTGAGTGCGTGCGTACTTCGTTGCGTGCACATGGCCGTGTGAGTGCTACGTGTGTGCGTGTGTGCGTCGGGTGTTGAGTGGTGTGCTATGAGTTGTATGTATTGTGTGTGATGTGCGTGTGTGCATGTGTGGTATGTGATGCTTGCACTGTCTGAAGCGTGCTGCTGTCTGATGTGGGTTGCGTGCTGTGTGTTGTGTGCTGTGTTTTGTGTGTTGGTCTGAGATGTATGTGTGTTTGTGTCGCGTGCTGTGTGAATGAGTCAAGTCGAGGGCTATCTTGATAGCTCCCCTGGGCAGCATTGACGACCACTGGGGACGTTCACAGTCGCTCTTGGGCCATCTTGGGCCATGGGGAGGGGTCTGCCGGGCTCCTCTCGAGAGCCTTTTTTTTCTGGAGGGTTTCGAGCCGTCTGGAGGCCCTCCGAGAGCAACTTCAACACGATGTTGATTCAGAGACCCCTTCGAGGCTATGTCGGCGGCTTCCTGGGCCGTCTCGGGGGGCCCTGGGGACCCTCTTGGGCGCTCTTGGGCAGTCTTGGACCATGCGGTGTGGAGGGGCAGGGGCCTTCGAGGCTCTTGGCAGCCCTTTGGGATCCTTTTGGGCCGTCTTGAGGCCCTCTAACGCGCGGAACCCTATAGCGCAAAAGTTCTTTATAGATGATCAGGTTCCGCCTGCATGAATGTTCCACGCTTCTCCTGTCTCGAAGACGTTTCCCGTCATCCGCCAACCATCTGCCCAGCGCAATCCGTCACCTTATTTCATTTTCAGTTCTGGCAACATCGACGGCCCACGCTTCTCGCTGCGTCCTCTCATCCGCCACCGTAACACCTGGCACGTGGTGCAGTGGCATAAGTCACATCCTGTCTGGATGTACAGCAGTGTTCCTCCTCGTTCTCCCCTATTAGAGGTCATCTGCGATGGAATCAAACAGCTTGTCTGTGGGTGGCCAAGCATATACTTGCTTCCAGACACCAAAGCGATGCTTCTTATCCAGCCGATTCCAAACGCAGAAGAGCTGCCCAAGCCCAGGGTCCTACGTATGGACGTGGCGCTGTGCCACTCGGCCAGCGTGTCCAAGTCGTGGCCCGACGAGCACGCTGGTGCTGCTGAGCGACTTCTCCAGCCCTCGCACCGAGATGGGGCGGGGGGGCTTCTGCCAGCTGACCCGTGCAAACCCCACACAACGCAAAGCCGCAGCAAGCGCTCGCTGCTTGAAGTGTTGAAGCAACGTCGTGTCGTGACGATGTTGCACACTGGAAGTCCGACTGCTGCGGCGTGCGGCGGCTTCTCGAAACTGCCGGAACATGGGAAGGTCCCCCTTACGGCTGCAGGCATGCCGACCTGTGCTTGCAATTGTCTGCGCCCGAGCGCGAGAGCCCTTCTGGATACGAGTTGGCCAGGTGTCTCGGAAACAGGTCGGACTGCACCGGCTCTCTGGGATGTCGGGTGATGTGCAAGCTGCGGTCGGGATAGAAGCAAGAAACATGCCGAAGACACCGCAATAGACGGCAGAAGCTCCACCCCGAGAATCACCACCCCGACACGCGAAGCCATTCAGAGTAAACGCACCCAAAGAGGGAATCAAACGGGGCGGGGTTGTTTAGTAGACGCCCAGAGCCGTTTGATCAACGCCAATCGTCCGGCCAGGGGGGCTTTCCCCTCCCCTGACACAACAGGCAACGGTCACCAGAAACCCCCGCCGCCGCAGCAGACTCGCAGCAAACCCGAGCTCAGTCCCCCCGCCCGCAGCCCCAAAAGTTCACCCTCTGCAGACCTGTTCCCTCTCCTGCTGCTCCTCTCGAGGGCTTCTTGGAGACTCTCGGGAGTCGTTGTCGAGCCTCTTGGGGTCTCTTTCGGGCCCCATCGTCGCCTTTGGGGGCCTCTTGGGAGCCTCTTGGAGCCTCCAGGAGGCCTCTTGGAGCGGAGGGCTCGGATTCTCGGCTCGTGGTCTCCATGTTGGGCCCCTCGTGGGGCCCTCTTGGGGTCCTGTTGGACCGTTCTGCTGCTGTGTGCCGCACGTCCGCGCAGCCAGGCGAACCTCAGCATGGGGGGGAAGCGGGCCCCGAGGGGAGCGGGTCCTGGGCCCGGGTGTTCCCCCCCAAGACGAGCTCCTCCTCCTGGATCGGTTTCCGACGGTCCTGGGGCCCGTGGAGGGCCCCGAGGGCACGAAAGCGACGGAAAACCTCGGGGCGTTCCCCTCGGGACCCCTTCCGCTCACGGCGAGAACTGCATCCCCTCAGCAGCCAGCGTCGAGCACCTGGGAGCGACCACCCACCCAGCGGCAGCCGGCCCTGCCGCTACTCCAGATTCTGATGAAAATCCTGAACTGGAAATATTAAGTTCTTTAAGCGAAAGCTATATGAACTAATGGCAATAAAGATGATAATCTTTTACTGCTTTGACTTGAGCCAGTACGTTACAGTACGGTACTGCTTCTAGCGTATGAGACAACATGCCTAACAGGTCCTAGACATAATAATCTCAACTCTGGTCCTATTTTCTTTAGGACATGTTGTATCTTATAAAAATGAAACCCAGTCGATTTTACTGGAGTTCGGTAGCGGCCCTAGGAAGGAGTGAGAGAGAGGAAAAGAGTAGGACAGCAGTCCTAAGTAAGCCATAACAGGCTTATCATATCCACCACGGCCACCAAATATAAATCCATTGAAATACGTCACTGAAATAACTCCATTGAAATACATCTGATGATAATCCATCTCGAAGTGGTAGCCGATAAAGGTGAACATGAAATACTAGCTCCACAATTGAAGTCGAACAATGTTATACATGTGGAGCTGCTCATATAACATCTCACATATAAACCAAACTCCAGATCATACTTCAGATTCTGATGAAAATCCTGAACTGAAATATTAAGTTCTTGTCGTGTCGGACTTGGTACTGTCTAGTCCAAATCCTTGCCTGACTCGCAGTGTGCCTGCGATCGTCCAACAACCGGTGGTGATCAGCTCCAAGAGTGACTTGGAATCTGCTCCCACGAACTTTGTCAACATATCTGAAACCATCCACTTGGTACGTACATGATAAAGTCGTCGTAATCTCAGGGTTCGTCGCTCTTCTCGAAGCGACAGAATACCCAAACGCTGAGACTTGTCCTGTGGTGTTCCTCGAAGTCCGCAACATAACTCCCACAGGTCCATGCAGTCAATGAAAGCGTCCACTGGTAAACTCAACTGCCCTCGGTCGAGTCGTTCTTGAAGCTGTAGTGGCTTCTGAGGTCCGCATAGAATGTTAATCTCCGGTTCTGTGAGCCTCATGCCGATAATCTGTGCCATGGGGACTCCTCGTGCTGCTGCCAACGTTTCCGCATGGGACGTGCTGTGAGAAACTCTCTTAGACTTGGTCGAAGTGACCACTAGTGCATGTAACTTACCACTGAGCCGATTGATCAGATTGTCCTGCAGATAATCTTGTCGATCACATAGAGGAAAATGTAGTCGGTCTTCTTGAAGACCTATCGTGACTCCTTCTGTGGCGAAATTGCTGTTCTTGTTGGCTGAAGAGGCGTCCGTAATACAAGAGATCCGTAGTGGTGCCTTGAGCTTCCTGTAGTAGATGCCAAACTTCTCTGGATTTTTCTTGAGTCTCTTGATCACTGCGTTGATCGCCAGGAGGTCCCTGATGGTCGGACTCTGTAGCTTGGTCTGTAGAGAAACAACATTGAATAGTTCCTCCAGTCGTGTTTGGCATGCCCAAAGTGCTCCACAAGTAAGAGATCTGAACGTCTTGTGTTCTGCTGCCGTACAGGGTGCATCTGGTACATCAACTCGCTCTTTTGGTATAACACATGGCGAAAGACATGATGTAAACTGATCTTGATGAATGCGTATACACGTCGGTACAATTCGTTCGAGCTGTAGGCCAGCATGTGTATATGGCATCGTCTGCCTCTTGAGCTTGCCGAATCTGGATTCCAACTTTTGGTGTATCCAATCGCGATAAAATCTGCTGCCAGTAACCTGTAAGTCGTCCACATGAACAGTCATGACTAAAACGATCACTTTGTTGCCCTTGTAATCGATGCCCCAGTAAAGATAGTTGTCGTCAAAAACCGATGATTTGGCTCCTGTCTTATCTTTGAGAAACTCCAACAAGGCCAACTGAAACATCAATGGTGCGTCTGTGAAACCATACATTGCTCTCAAGCATTTGAGGGCATATCTGTGTCGATCCTTGTCTGCAACTTTCCAACTGGAAGATGCCTCCGGCATGCGTCGAAAGTGACTCCACACATTCTCCGGAGGAAGGATGTAGACTGTCCGGTCTTCACGATACTCATAGCCGAGATTCCTTGCTTTCTCGCGTAGGTTGTCGTATCCGAGTCCTTGTAGAAAAGCCGTTGAAATATCCAGGCTCTCGGCGTCGACGTCGCCGTCATTCTCGTCGTTCACATGTAGAATACCTTCACAACATCCTAAACTCAAAACCAAACGCTGCGATAATCTTGTCGCTGTCGAGCTGTGTTTCTCAATAAAGTTCTTCTGTCGGTCGAAACAGCCTCGAGCGCATAGTCGTGATTTGACTTCAACGTGTTTGACCTTCCATTTCCTCACCCATGTACAATCAACTATGTTCGCCTTATCGGGTAGGTGGTCTCGAAGTACAGGTTCGAAAATATCATGAGTAACAAAAGCCTTCAACTCCTTATGATCTCCTGCAATAACCAACTTCGCAAAACGTCTCATCTCGTCATCTGTGAGGTTCGCCGTCGAATCATCAACTCGAAAAACCATTGATTCATGCAAATCGTAATGGAAGTATAGATATCGGTCCGAGTCGGAGTAAAGTGTCGGAGATACAAAATCAAAATCATCTGAAAGGTTGCTGATCATCTCGTCATAAATTGCTTCCATACTTTGCTTGTGAGTTCCGTCGGGTAGTCGTTCGCATAGATTGACGATCTTGGGGATGTCAAGGTGGTCAATCGTCTCCTGGTATAAGACTCTGGTATCTCCATCTGGGTCGTCGCTGTATTCCAGAGTTCTGTCAGTAGAAGTCGAGGGTTGCTCTCCTGCTGGTACTTCATCTTTACGAATGGGAAGTATAGGTGGTTCTGTCGAATCCGCTGGAGCTGGCTGTGTCGAGGACGTACCCGGCGTAGCCGCTGGCAAGTCCGTTGACGACGAAGAAGCTCCTGGTTGATATCTCCCCGTAGACGTCGTCTGTGGTCGTGGTGGTGACTCAGGCTGCCAAGGAGAGGGCCATGGATATGGCGATGATGATCTCCCTCGCTTCTGAGGTGGTGACTGTGCCGCGTCTGGAGGATCAACTGCTTTCTGCTTCTCCGCTGTGCTTGTCTTGGACTTGTCCAAGTCGAGAGGAATGTAGGGTAACTTGTCAGGAGTAGCTGGAGTCTGCAGTGAATCCTCTGATCCTTGTGTGTCTCGGTGCTGTGGTTGCAACGAAGGTGGACCCATAGGTGCCTCTCGAGAGATACGTCGAGGTGCTGGTCCAGGTGCTGGAGGTAGGTCGTGATCATGTCCATGAGCTGGTATCTCTTCCATGTCGTCGTCGCTGTCGATAGTCTGGTCGCCTGGGACGTTGAGCTGCGGTGTGCCTGCCGTAGCTGGTGCCGTCGAGGGTTGACCATGCGATGGCTGATCTGGTGGTCGTCCAGGCTCTTGTGGAGGTATAGCATTTGACCGAAAAGGTGGAACTGGTGGTGCCCGAGCTGGCGGTGCTGGTGGATCCCGTGGTGGATGCTGATCCGGAATAACAATGTCAGAGAGGTCGTCAGGCCAGTCAATCATGCTGATGTCACTCCAGTCCAACTCTGGTGGATCGAAATGCTTGTCCAGATCCTCGCAATGGTCATAGCTGTAGAGCATCATTGTGCTGTAGTTGGTAGATTGCTCGGCTGTATAGCGAAGAGCTATGTCTGGGCGTCGTACACGAATACTGTAGTCAGCTCGGTCCTCTCGTCGCCAGCGTAACAGTAGAGCCCACTGTGCATATTCAATCTGAGGAAATCGACGTACTTGTGAGCCGTACAAGATGCCATGTACAGGCTTAAACGTATCGCTGAATATCTTGATGCCCAGAGCCAAAGGCTTGCATGAATCGCAAGCTTCTTCACTGGGAACATATCGATACTGCTCTTGCTG